AGTGAACCATGCGACTGCCTGATTCAAAATGATCAGTACCAGTTTATTGCAGCTCACTAGCCTAGAAAACCAGTACCAGCTCACCAATGCCTAGAATACCAATATTTATATGCTGCGTTTCATTTCTGATGACTTCCAATTTTCCTGGATTCATTTTTGTACATTCCAAATTCCAATTATTAGTGAATTGTTGAATCATGCCCCTTCAGCAAATGAAGGCTATACTCCATGCACATCATCATGGTCAGCTCTTCTTTGAGAAGACAGCTCTTAATCATTTTTTGTATGCCATCCTGGCTAAGGGGCTCATGTTCTGGCACCATTTCTGACAATGTTCTGCTAGCACCTATTAGTGAGGTTTTCTGTGACTAATTCCACTGGAGGGAACAATCTATTCCTTCTTTGTAGTCTTAGTCTGTAAGCTCTGCTGGAACTTGCTCTCCTGTGACACTGGGAGTATTTGAACTACCAGTGACATCTGTTCCAGCATCACAGCAACACAAAAGCCACTATAGTATGACAAACTGACAGACAAGTGGTCGAATCAAAAGATAAAAAACAAAATATGCAATGTGTAGGAGATTTGGAATGTATGACATACATATAGAACAACAAACACACATATTATATGTACAACTGAAGATTGCCCAAATAAACAGGCTCTAGCAATGTTAACAATTAGAGAGATCCTTATTAAAACAACATCCCTGAAGAAACAGGCTCACATGGCTACTACAATCAAGGTACAATCAAAGCTTCCATGTCATCTGTGTCTAGAATTTTATATCAAATGCTGTCATGCTAAGCTCAGATTTCTCTCAATGAATGGAGGGCCAGGCCCCTGGCCTCAGGGAGGGATGACCCTGAGGCAGTGGTGAGATTCAGCCTGGCACACCAGTTTGGCAGAACCTATGCCCAATTTTCTTGTTGTGTTCAGTGAACTAGATTTTAAAATGACCCTTGTAATCAGGGTTCTCTCAAAGGTGGCTGACTGGACAGCTGCCCAAGGTGGGAATCACAAATGTATGTTCCTTACTTTTATTTT